AAGAAACAAAACTTTACTAACTCACAGGGAAAATCTCAAAATTTTAATGTGTTTTTCCTCAAAATCAGTTTTCTTTTGTTGTTGCTACTGCTCAAAAAAATGCTTCAAAACTTTGTTTTATGATTATATTTCAGACAGTTCATTCAAATGATACATTAATAAGGCCTTTATTCATTATATTTTGACAAAATGAAATTTCTGTTAACATTTTAGTCAAAACACTATATTTGCCTTTTTCTCCTTAAACCACTTTTTTCACCACTTGTTTTGATGTGACGGGTCACATTTATGAGGAGTGTGGTGAAAATGCTGCTGCAGGAACTTACTCATCATCGTCGTAAGATGATGATCGTGAACTCCGATCACTTTTAACTGAGGACTTATCATCATCTTCCTCCTCTTCTTCCTCATCATCAGAATAAACCTCACTGGTCTTCAGAGGCTCACGTTTGGCCAGCAGTTCAGCTGCAGGACAAAGAAAAGCTTTTAAACTCTGACATTTTTATCATTAATCAAAATAAAAACAGCTGGTGTCCATCTTTTACATWCAATAATAATTTTTTTGTTTGAACATTTGATCCAAATATGGACTTTTATCTTGTAGAAAATGTGATCAGTAAGACAATATGCAAAAACAATTAGTTTTCCAGAATCCATTTGACATTCATAAACCATGAAAATACTAAAATCATATGAATGTACAGAAACATTGATGTGAGTATCAGTCACATGGAGGCAGGACTTAAAAGCCTGAATTTAGCCTGAAACTCTCAGACTGAAGAAGTCTCTTGGAGGAGAGACGAAACGTTTCATTARAGAAGAACCCGTCCAGARGACCTRTACTATTTTTTCTTTTTGATTTTTTACCTGGATTACTGAGATRCATCAGGACGTACAGAAACATYGTTTACAGAGTGAAAGAATGAAGTAACAGCAGGACACACCAACCTGTTTTATTTTTCTTCTTCTCACGCTCTGCCTTCAGCTCCTCCATGGCCTGGGACTTCTTGTCCAGTTTTTCGTCACGTTTTGATCGTCGTTCCTTGTTGTGGGACATWGAAACCTGGAAAGATGAGAATTAAACACAGACACAAAAATAAACAAGATGAATAAGAAAAAATGTTTGTGTCAATAAAGTATATAAATCTACTAAAAATATACATCTGGTCAAAATAGCAGCCAAAACACTAACAAATGTATTAGAAATTTAAAAATATATATCAGCTCACAGTGTAGAGGCACAGTGCCATCATTATTACATCATCATCGGCCTAATGATCTTTATAAACTTGACTCCGGGGCTGGACAACATACTGTAGTTAAATTTACAAAATATTGTGAAAGAAAAATACCCACAGTAAATATTTATATAATAAAAAAAAAACGGTTTTGTTTGGCTCCAGAGTTTAAATTCTTTTTAATGAGATGTTAAACAACATGCAGGTTTCCCTCCTTGTTGATTTCTCCATCATGGTTTGTCTCATCAGACACACAAGCAGCACTGACAGCAGTGTTGGGAGGAACTTTAACTTTCATCAAGTTAAAAGGAAAACTGACATTAACAAGAGAACATCCCGTCAAGAGGACCCCCGTTCCCCGACCGCCATTTGGGGAGGGGGTCCTGAAGAAGGGCATGCCGCTGGGTGCGGTCCTGGGCTGTGGGTGGGCTCGGGGCTTGGACGGTTGCCGGGGGCGGGGCTGGCTCTCCGTCCTCCCTGGTGCTGCTTGGTCTCCTGAGGTGTGGCTCTTAGTTCCAGTGGGTGGCCCGCTGGCCGGGGTGGCTGCTGGGTTCCGGGGGGTGGACGGCTGGCGGGGTGCACTTGGTCACTGGCGGTGTGGTGTGGTGGTCATGGATGTGGCTTCTCTGCGGCGGGGGTCTGGCGGGGCGTCCTGGTGCGGCCCGGGCCGGGCCTTGGCTATCTGCTCCTCTCCACCTCAGAATGATTGGGTCTACCTCCTGGGTTCGGGTGTGTGCGGGTGCATGTCCTGGACCTGGGGGGTATAGAGTGTATATCAGGGGTATGAGTGGAATGTGGCGTCCTTATACAGTATGTCTTTGACTAAGTGGGGATGAGGATGAGGGTGGGATGGTGCGATTGTGTATGTTTGGGTATTTG